TAGCAGTGGGAGTCAGATTGCCCCCTAGTGGATGGCTAAAGATTTGTTAACTCATATTCGTAAATTCTCAAGAGAACGTCTCTGAATTAACTGATGCTCGCGGGCCCCTTGACAGGTGCTGGCGCCCCCCCACTGGTTGAAAACCCCTGCATTAGACCAATCCAGAGCCAATCTCTCTACGGCTCTGGACCAATGATTGAATTTGAGCCATTTCCTGGTTTTGATAAAAGCAATGATCTCTGGCCACAAGCTCCCTTCTGCCAAATTAGAAGACTAAAATTTATAAGTTAATATCTAATGAGCCATTAAATCCTCACTATCTTCCGGTGGTGCAGCTGGCAGTAGATTAACACCCTACTTTTGGTTTTTGTGAGGCCCAAAATGCTCTTGACATGGATATTATTATGCAAAAGAAAGCTGCGATCAAGCAATATTTGTATGAGTTCCTAAAGTGATACTGCATGTTTGACTGTTACTGTCCTTTGTGTACATTTGCATGAATGAGTTGATGTGAATGTTTATGCTTGTTTGCGAGTTTGGTCCATTCTGTTATGTCTGTATTTATCGATATGTGTGTGTGTAAATAAGTATATATATATATATTAGGGGTGTAACGGTACACGTATTCATACCGAACCGTTTCGGTACGGGTCTTTCGGTTCGGTACGCATGTGAACCGAACGATCCCATTAGATATTTTACTCATAAGAATTTCTAGGGGTGCCAATAATTGTGTCCAACGTGTATTTGAGAAAAACATTTTTTTCATAATGATATTTCCCCCCCCATTTTAAATTCTTATTATCAAATGAAAGGTTAGATTTTTGTGATTTTTTTAAATAAAATATTAAAAATGATTAACAATGCAGATTCATTTTCACAGCCTTCTTTGATCATATTTACCAAGGGTGCCGATATTTTTGGCCATGACTGTATATATATATATATATGTATGTGTGATGTGTAGGTGCTGGATGGCAGTGATAGTCAGTACTCAGGGATGCAGATCGGCACACTGCAGGATGAGGAAGAGGAGGGCGCAGCTCCACCGCCTGATAAATCTCCAGAGCCTTTCTCTCAGTCAGCACTGGGTACATACTCATTTAGTACACAATACACCCTGTTCTAATGGTCTAACTTGGGTGTGAAGTGCTCATGTTTATTAGTCATCCTTTTAGCTCACAGTTCTGTTTTCTCTCGTTGTCAGCTTTAAGTAAGCCGCATCTTCTGGAGGGAAAAGGTCACAACAGGCAATCATCTGATAGCAGTGTGGATCGATTCATACCAAAGGAAGAGGTTCTGGAACCCGCAGAACTCGACAACAGCCCGGTGCATGGTCTAAAAGGGTTGTCCCTATTCTCTTAATAAGTAATTGGTGTGTTTTGGGCGTAACGTGTCATAAACCAATCAGAGTCTCATCTCCCATTCCCTTTAAAAACCAGTTGCGCTCGCGCCATGGCGGAATTTGCAAGCGGAAAAACTGAACGCTTCTCTAGTGAGGAAACGAATCTGCTCGTGCGCGTAATTCTGATACATGCAAAGACTATCCATTATGACATGTAGGCATATTTATATTTATGTACAGAATAATAATCTTTTACATTTTAATCCTTTAATTTAACATTTTTAAAAATGTTTGTGTGCTGCTGCGTATCCCTGTGTGTGTAATAAGCAAAGTGTACGTGCGTTGTGCACCCGCCTAGGTGCGTATTACTAACGCGCTTTTTAAATAATGAAGAAAAAAACTATTGCGCCAGACTTTAGACCAGGTTTTTGTTGGTCAATGGCACAGTCTATTTCAGTTGCCTCAAAATAGCAACGCGCCAGCAATGCGCCTGAACACACCTCGTTTTCAGACCAGCACGCCCATGAGCGCACAAATGGGTGCAAATGCATTTGCTATTTAAACAACGTGGCGCAGGACGTGAAAATGACAATTGCGTCGGCCGGAAACTAGCAAAAAACACTTGTCGCGCCTGGCGCCACATTGCACCGGGTGTATGATAGGGCCCATAGTCTGTGTAGTCCAAATGAATAATGTTGTGCATCTCAAGTTCTCTGAGATTCATTACAGAGATCTAGTAGTTAAACTGCACAATCTGTGAATATTTTGTACGTGTTCTGTGTGTTTTAGCCATCTAGGATTAAAGGAGATATTGGTCACTATACTGACCCAAAGGAAGAGCCTCTGGTGCACTGTGTCCGGCTGTTGGCTGCCTCCTTCCTGCTCACCGGCCAAAGAAATGGTGAGAAAAAAGACATTAACTCTCATGTGTTGCTTGACTCTGTATTGTCTCAATAAGCATACAAGTGCTTTTGGGTGTTGGTATTTGCTACTTGAACATTAAAGTGTCTTTCTTCATAAAATAATATGTGTGTGTGTTGTAGGTCTGGTTCCTGATAATGAGGTCCGTGTGAGCGTTAAGGCATTAGCCGTTAGCTGTGTGGGGGCAGCAGCAACTCTTCTACCCGAAGCCTTCTTCAACAAACTCTACTTGCAGCCACTAGAAGGACAAGAACCAGATGGTGAGGAAAACACTGACCCCTATCCAAGGATTCTGTTCATTAATGGGTCAATTGAATCACTCGCTCTTGCTTGTTTTGTTTAGTTTGAGTGGGTTTAGTTTTTTTTTTTTTTTACATTTGTTCTAACATTTTTTTGTTTATACATTTTATTTTTGTTTTGTCTTTAAATTAGTTTTTATTTCGTTTCTGTTTTCTGTTTAGTTTTTTTGTACATATGTGTCCCATTTTTTGGTAGGGAAGAGTCGAGGACTCAGTAGCAGAGCTTAACAGGCTTTATCATAATTCAAAAATAAAACAAAAATAAACAAAAACTACCCCGTAGGGTAAAATACTTAGCCACTGCAAAATAAGACAGGATGCGGCAGGGCAGGACATACTGGGAACCAACAGGACCACAGGAACATTTGATGACTGTCTGGCACAGAACAGAGAGCACAGGGAGAATAAATAGGGAAAGAAATAAGGAGAGTTTCAGAGGAGAGCAGGTGAGGCAAATGAACCATAAAATATATGTAATCACACAAAACATGACACCATGAGAACACATGGCCTATGAGAACCTTCATGAACCTTGTGCTCACAGAAAACAAGATAACACGGAAACACTGTGGAATGGAAAAGTCACTCAAGCAGTGTGCTATATTAAACACACCTTCCCAGTCAAAAAATAATCCACTTACTCGACAAAAACACACAAGACAAGAGCATACAGTGAGGGAATGACCACTCCAGACATCCACTCACAACAAAAGGCTAAATTTTGAGCATGACTGTCTGGACCCCAAAACTGAATTGATACCAAACTAGATTACTGAAACTGTTTGTGTGAACAGAGCAACAGTACATCAGTGATATACTGCAGTACATTGAACATGGGGATCCTCAGATCAGAGGAGCCACAGCCATCCTGTGTGGGGCTTTAATCCAAGCCATCCAGCTCAATACACGCTACAACACGGAGACATGGCTGTCCCAGATCCACTCCTTCACAGGTGAGAACTACTGCTACAGCTTGATCAAATGAATCACACAATCTAAGGCTTGTTTTCACATTCTCTGTCTTTCTGTTTTCTCAGGAAACTCTATGACACTCGAAAACTTTGTGCCTCTGCTGCAGCGAAGTCTGAAAGATGAATCTTCAGTCACATGTAAAATGGCCTGTGCTGCTATTAGGGTGAGAATATATATATATATATATACTGTACATAGATGCTCCTCGGATCATTTTACACATGTAAAGAGTGCTAGTTTAAATCTGTCTGTTAGGTTTAGAAGATTATAAAAATATTGTGTTTTTACACAACTACAGCACTGTATCATGGCGTTGTGCAGTGGCAGTCTAAGTGAACTTGGCCTGCAGCTGCTCATTGATCTGCTGACCCTGAAGGACTGCTCCTATTGGCTGGTTCGCACTGAGCTTTTGGAGACGCTTGCTGAGATTGATTTCCGGTAAGTGGACTCAAACTAGGGCTGCACGATATATCGTTTCAGCATCGATTTCGCGATGTGCGCATCCGCGATAGTCACATCGCAGGATGTGCGATGTTTAATATACTGATCGTTATATTTATACTGATTGTTTTCTTTGCTCACACACAGACACAGTGTCTACACCGGACGCGACAGCTGTACATAGATACCCATTTTAAATACATTTAGTAGCAGAGCTACTGCCCGCGATTTTCAGTGCTGGAAATCCGTTTATCCTTTGTTGAAACTTCTGCGTCGTCGCGGAGAGCGCATGTCACGGTTGCTTAGCAACGGCAGACGCCAAGAAAGCACAAGCTCCCGAGCGAAAGAAGGAGAAAGCGGCGCGACTGGCGTTTTCCCACGCGTTTATAGGCGCGACATGTGAACAGCCCCAAAGTCTGTCTACACTGGACGCGACAAAGCGACCGTTGCATCATCATTTGAACTTTGTGTCTGTACGTCATAAAGAGAACGAGGCATCAGTTTACTGTCAAGGATTTGTCGTGCCGCGCCGCGCCGCACCCAGTGTAGACAGTCACACAGCATCACTGATTATAATGGGTTCTATTGTATTTTGTCGCGTCGCGCCACGCTGCTCGCGTCCGGTGTAGACTCGGTGAGAGCCACGCAGATGCACGTGAACACTGATTTCTGTTCACTTCTGCATCTATTTGTGCC